GTATTACTTACATGATGTTCGGCTCGAAACTCCCGTATATCGACCACCTGCCAACTAGGGCTGAATAGGCCGGCAGCACTCAGAGCGAATGCGATCACAATCAGGATTAACGAACAGACTAATATGCATGTTTGAGTGAAATTATTTTTCTCTTGAGCCATTTTACTGCTGAAATTAATCGATAAATCAATACGTTAGCAACATCGAAACGGCAAACGCTGTCGTGAATGAGTCGAACACGATTCATTGCAAAAACAAGTATGGGAAAGCTGTTATGAAGCTAGAAGTTCAGTTTAAGTGCAACACCCTTGTGGGCGATACTTAGAAATCACTTCGCAGGATACTTTACTGGTAGTCAAGTGGAACCCTCGAGCGCAACGAGTAAGTGGATCGTCTGGAGATCTGATAAGGTCTCCAGAACCATACCCATCGAGGCAAATCTATGCGGCACTATTTGAGGACCAGTACGTAAGGCAGGCAAGTGTCAGGAAGATTTTCACGGCTCAATGATGTTGAGGTCACACGGTGTTCAGCCCAAGTCCGAACCGATACTCCCACTGGGAGGCAACCGATAGCTCGATGGGAACTGTTACATTCAAGAGTACTTTTTGTCAAATTCATACCTGGCCATACTTTNCTGTAGGAAAAGTTGAAAAAGCGTAGGGACAAGTAACCAGTTAGCATGATACCAGTAGATTCTCTCTGTGAGAACAGTGGAGAGACCCGTTCCTCCAGAGAGCTTCATTGATCCTATTATGTACCATGAAGTTGTCATGGAAGTAATCCGTAACTTGTTGAAGTGGACTAGGTAATAAGACGGGATATCGTTACATAGAGTGAAGATAACCAAAGTAAAATCATCCGGTTATTTACAATCTAAAATTGGGCTAAGGATTTCTTTACTAAGGGATAAATTAATTAAAGGTTACTGGTTTGAACAAAGTGACTTTCAATATCAGTGAAGATAACATTAAAGGTGCGGTGAGTAAGTTCGCGAGTAAGTAAAGTAACCAGGCAGAATAGGCAACGAACCGTCGACCCAACATCAACCGATAAAATTCGAATAGAAAATAAAAAAAGGTAGCATCACTCTGTTTAGTAAGGAAATAAGTAGTAGAGTAGTAACTCCTAAGTAACCTGCTCGATACAGTTACTGGAGCAGCGCCTAAAGTGGTACGAACGAAAAGACAAAACAGTACGCGACAGTTAAGAATAAAGAAACAACACATTACTGCATAAGAAATAGCTGTAAATGGAAAAATGACTAAGTAAACCGATGGAGGGCAATGCTGGAGGCATTTCTGCTTTAAGTTATTTTATGGTTGACGTGGTTGAAGCTATAACAGACACAGTCACTCAATTCATTCCACTTCGCTGAGGCTTCTGGCAAAAAGTACGTCCGGTAAGACATTTCTGGTTCTGCTTCATTGGAGCGTCTAAGTGGTGAGTAAAAAACTTACAGGCATAGGGAAACTTCTGCCCAGGATTTCTGAACATGATTGATCAAAACTGTAAACTTCGATGGTATGGGAGCTGTGCGATACGCAAAAGAGCTGCATGAAAAAGTAGCCTCCTGATTGAAACAAGCAAATCTCATCATACCACCTCTGCTTTGGATTTAAGTGGTTAACTCATAGGTGGAATAGTTAGTGTGAATAAACTTGTACGATACGATGCTATTAACGGGACGGTACTTTGTACATCGGTTGGTGTCTAGCCAAGTATTAAAGGGGGTGTGGTGCAGTAGGAACGAAATTGTCGCGTCGCGGCGAGAGAGNAAGGCTAGAACTGTTATATCGAGGCAACTGGTCCACGACAGCCGCGTGCGGCGGATCGATTACACAAAACCGTTCCTACTGCCCGTCTCCCTATTAAAGCTTATCAAACACAGTAGCTACTATAGGGACCCTAGATGGAGTGGGTTCTTCACATTCTACAACGCCACAGCTCATAAAACTTAAACATGCTGAAACGGTCGCAAAAAAGAAATGGTCGCATCGCGGCGAAAGCGACGTCGCGCAGAAGGAATGTAGCAGAAAGAAGCAGAAGCAGCGCAACGAGTAGGAGTCTAGGAACAAAAAGTCACTAAAAGTATCTTGCCAAAAATAATAATGTCATATGGATCGAGCTGTATGAAGAACGCTAGAACTGCAATAACGAGGCAACTAGTCCGCGACTGCCGCATGCGGCAAATCGATTACACAAAACTGATTTAACTGCCCGTCTCCCCCTTCGCAGCAAGTTTTGCAAAGAGTAAATTCAAAAGCTAGTCGCCTGACGACTGACTCGACTGGTGGTGGAAAATTTTAAGGAACAGGAAAAGGAAAAACTTCAAATTGAGTTACTGGCAATCTGTTTCTTTTTAGCCACTTCACTGCAACACTAATGTTCTGCTGCTCTCCTCTGCCATCCCTGACAACCATGTGCTCTCCCGCACTTTGAAGGTGTTTCTACTCTTTTCTTCGAAAAACCGCTCTCATTTTTTAATCGCACATTTCTACCCACGTGTGCGACCTTCGGTAAATCTTGGTTTGGTTTGTGGTAGTTTTCGCTGTAGGTTCCTCGAAACCGTAACCAAATGGCAATGAGCTCTTTTCGCCTACATCAGCAGCTGGGAAATCTAAAATAAGTGCGATTCATTATAAGCCACCATTTCATCCCTCACGATCAGTCCCCTTGACCCAATGGGTTCAAATACTCATAGCAATGTCATTAAACATGGATTCACCTCAACAACAACAACTAGTCCGATAGTTTGTTAAGGTGGATCCAAGTGTTCTGCGTCTACAACGAATGGGTTTGAATGCTCACAGCAATCACAGAACATCTGGGTACACCTTGTATCAACGAATGGTCCGATCGTTTATTTAAGTGGACCAGAGTGGTCTAGACTTTTTCTGACTTTTGTGGCTCTGACGAAGATGACAACACCGAAACTTTTGCGGAACGAAGGTTTTCGCCTTTTCACAAACATGCCAATACAAGAACTTAGAAGGATGCGACCCCGACGTCCAGCCTCCAAGTTTTGAAGTTTCTTGGAACGGATTATCAGTCTTACTCATGAAGTTTTGGTAATGGATATTGGATTGCTTTGGCTATCCCCACCGGACATCGGTTCAGGTTCCGAACAGACTAGAGATGAGATGGAAATAAGGGTAAAATGAAAGTAAAGTCCGATTTGGTATTCTCAACTGGCGGAGGAAGTCAACACAGTTTTTGCTAAGAGTTGATACTAGACTGGTACGAAATAGCTACGGCCAGAGAGTGTTGGAAAGTTGACTCTGAGCAAAAATATTAAAAACCGTATTATTCTCAATTCGTCGATATTCTATTCTTCTAATTCATCTATCTGATCATCGTATTGATTGAAAACGTAGATATTTTAAACTAGAAAGACAAATCTAAAGATGAATCTATGAAAACTTGCTCATACTGACAATTTTTACAAATATTCCGCAGTAAAAGAGAACATACATTCAGAACGAAGTGTTCCGTTGAAGGCAAAGGAGTAGAGGGGCCTAACGAGGCGCCTAAATGAAGGCACTTCACGCATTCAGATAACTCCTAGTGCAAGGCCAACTAATTGAGGCATTTCCGGATCTCGCACGCCTCGAATGTTTTGCCCATGTACCGCACTAGCGCTTAACGTTTCCGCACAATGCACATGGCCGGCCAGGCCGAACACTTGAATCAAAGAGGTAACACACGGAGGGATGTGAAAGGCGTGGGGAACGCGATGACGAATATGAACCATTGAGGACAACCCCGAGGACAACCCGAAAACAACAACAACAGCGAAACGTTTTCGGACAGCCGGGGAGACACGGCGATCGCCACACTGCCATATTCCTCGTGGTCGTCCTTGTATTACGCATAATAGAGGTCAACGCACTAGAACGACGGTCAGATAGCCGAGGACAGCCGTTTAAAAGCCGTTTTTCAGGTGAGTAAAGTAAGATAAGGCCGAGACCGTAGCTCCAGCTAAGCCGTGGCACCCATGAGGCCACCTGAAGCCAGCGACTTCAGCTCGAGTATTTTTGATCAGGGCAACCCATGAAGTCCCCGAGAACAAGCAAGTGACTGTACTTACTAAATAATGTTTTCTTTTGCTCTGTCTTTATACTTATACTTACTGCGCTCATCTAAAGAAGTAATGGAGAGACGAAAAAATAAATACAAAAAATATATAATAGAAAAAAGAGAACAAATAGGAGAAAAATATGAGGAATACGTGAGAAAAGGAACCTTTTTTATGGGACTAGGAAGTGAAACGTCAGTGTTCGTGCGTAGCCGCTCCCTACTAAAATTAGAACAGCTTACTGCTACAATTCTTACCAAGGTTTTTATATAGTAGTTCCGAAAACAAAACAAAAAATAAACTACTTCTGTTGTTTGACCAACGCTTCAACGAAAAGGAAATACGTAAAAATTTTCTTGACGTCAAGGAACAAAGCCAGGTTGTTCACTTCTGTATTCTGAAGTTCATAGCGTTTTCATATGTTAGGCAAGTCTTTACTACAGTGTATAAAGAAGTAGTAACAGCCTTGACCAACGATAAGGGTCTCGCTAAGGTTTTTGCTGATATCATTCACTATAAAAATAAAAAAGGCCCGACGTAAACGAATATGATGCGAAACTGGAAAAATTCAAAAAATCACCACAAAAAATCTACTGGTAATACAACAATAACTTGTGCTCGAAAACCAGTAACACAAATACAAAGCTATTTCTGGTACGGATTTCCAATAAACTTAAAGGTAAGTCGTAAAGTAGCGACAAAATGGGTTAAGTATGAAATAATGCGCAGGCAACCCGCACTGAAATGACATTTCAATACAGAGAACAATAAGTTAAACAAGGTATTTACTCGAGTAACTCAGATTAAAACCATGCTCACTACATCGAATACTTTAACAAGGTTTTTGAAAAAAAAAAAACAAAAAAGGTTTAGTTGAAAAGAAGAGTCGAAGGCATGCATGCAGCTGAGGCTAAACGGAAGGTATCCCGGGAAAGTGCAGAAGGATTAGTATAAGTAATGCGATTAGACAGCAGTAAGAGTTGCATTAAAATCGTAATTAATTCAGTAACATGAAGGAATTCTCTAACTGAATTACAACTAGTATGCTCCCGAATTAGTAAATACGTGAAATGTAGCAATTTA